GATTCAATTCGACGCGATTCAATTCGGTACGATCCGATTCGGGGTGATTCAATTCGGGACGATTTAATTCGACGCGATTCAATTCGAGACGATTGAATTCGGAACGATTGAATTCGTAACGATTGAATTCGGCGCGATTGAATTCGACGCGATTGAATTCGGAACGATTGAATTCGGGACGATTCAATTCGGTACGATCCGATTCAGCGCGAATCAATTCGGAGCGATTCAATTCGGCGCTATTCAATTTAATACGATTCAATTCGGCGCTTTTTCAATTCCACGCGGGATATATTCGATACAATTCAGTTTAGCGCTGTTCAATTTAATTACAATTCAGTTTAGCGCTGTTCAATTTAATTACAATTCGATTCAACGCGATTCAAGTCGGCGCTATTCAATTCAATACGAGTCAAATTGATACAATTCAATTTGACGCTATTCAATTTAATTACAATTCAATTCATCTCGATTCAAGTCAGCACTATTCAATTCAATACGAGTCAAATCGATACAATTTAACTCGGAGCTATTCAAGTTAATATAATTCAATTCGGGGTTATTCAATTCGGCGCTTTTTCAATTCAAATCGAGTCAATTCGATACAATTCAATTTGGCGCTATTCAATTTAATTACAATTCAATTCAACTCGATTCAAGTCGGCACTATTCAGTTCAATACTAGTCAAATCGATACAATTTAATTTAGAACTATTCAATTCACTATAATTCAATTCAATACAATTCAATTCGACGCAATTCAATTCAACGTAAATTTAATTCACTACGATTCAATTCAGCGTTATTCAATACGATGCCATTCAATTCATCTCGAATCAGATCAATATCATTCAATTCGTCGCTATTTGTTTGACACACTCTAATTGCATATCATTCAAGTCAATTCGAGTTGGTCAAATTTGAAGCGTTTCAATTCAACACAAATTCACTTCAAATCAGTATATCAAAAAAATTTATAGTATCTACCGTTCTTTCATCTCAACATCGAAGAAATTAGAACCACGGTGTTTTTGTCACTTCCGCCTACGCCAGCATCGAACATATATTCTCGAATTTGAACTCGATCACCGAATCGAGTTTTCACAAGGTTTTTCGAATTTCGCACTCTATCGTTACTTATAATCGATACAATATTTCTGATTTAGCAAGCTGTTCTCTGAAGCAAACAATCATATACGAAGCATTGAAAAGTATTAAAGAAAAATAGACAAATCTACGAAGCCTGTCCTATTGAACTCGTCTAATAAACTCGTTTCACACAACCAATTTCGATATAATCATTCATTTTTGATTATATTGAATGTAATCGAAGAATTTGGGTTCGTACGTAGGCTTCCTTTAACGAAGGGTAAGTTTTAGGGGGTCTTCCGTGGTGAAGAAGTCGTGGGAGACATTTATCTTTTAATGGAAAAACATTTAACCCCATTAAAGATATGTTGGTAAATTATATACGTATGACTTTCTTGAGAGAATCCGAAGATGGATTCTTCTCATGATTTAGGTAGTTGCAAATTTTGTGAATTTGGGGACTTGCAAATTTAGGGAGTTGGGGGTTCAAGAATTTAGGGATTTGGGGATTTGAGAGTTTCTTACTTTGGAAATTTGGAGATTTGTATATTTGGAAATGTGGAAATTTAGGGATTTGGACGATTCAATTCGACGCGATTGAATTCGGGACGATTCAATTCGGAACGATTCAATTCGGGACGATTTAATTCGGAACGATTGAATTCGACGCGATTGAATTCGGGACGATTCAATTCGACGCGATTGAATTCGGGACGATCCAATTCGACGCGATTGAATTCGGGACGATTGAATTCGGAACGATTCAATTCGGCGCGATTGAATTCGGGACGATTAAATTCGGAACGATTGAATTCGGCGCGATTGAATTCGGGACGATTGAATTCGGGACGATTCAATTCGGCGCGATTGAATTCGGGACGATTGAATTCGGAACGATTGAATTCGGCGCGATTGAATTCGGGACGATTCAATTCGACGCGATTGAATTCGGGACAATTGAATTCGGAACGATTCAATTCGCCGCGATTGAATTCGGGACGATTCAATTCGACGCGATTGAATTCGGGACGATTCAATTCGGGACGATTCAATTCGCCGCGACTGAATTCGGGACGATTCAATTCAATTCAATTATGGATTTAGCCAAATCTCTATATTTCCAAACCTCTGATCACACAAATCTCTAAACACCCACCTTTCCAAATTCATAAATCTCCAAATTGAAAGAACTTCGCACTACAAAAGTTTGCAAAAAAATAAAAACACCCTCTGTGTCCCTTTACCACCCACCTCCTCGTGGTAAACTAAACAATCAAGCAACCATTTACGGGGTTTCTCACCGTATCCAACCCCGAATAAAATACAAACAAACAACTAAAAGCTTTCCAAATTTGCGTACCAGACTAATTTTCTGGATTGCAAATAAAAAAAAGGCAAGAAAGAAGAGCGAGTCGCTAGGCAGAAATCGGTGAGTCCCTTTTTTAGAGTCGAAGCATGACTTGGATCATATTTTTATCTTCTAAGATTTTACTCTGGCTACATCAGCAACTTCAAAACGAATCCATTCACCTTGCAACGAGTTCACGCTTCGCGGCCATAGATTTTCACGTATCTTTTATTTGTTTTTACTAAAAGCTTTTTGACCCTCCGATCACATCCGTATGTCACTCATTGTCAGCACAAATTATTCACAACCCTCCCTGCATCGCGAGATTCGAGGAAGACTTCTTCTTTCGAATGTCGTTCGATAGCAACCCAGTACTGTCTGATCTAGATCGATCTGTCGCATATATTATCGATTTAGCCTTCACACTGTGTTGTTCCCTCTGTCGAAGCTCGTTCCTGACGAGCACCTCGTAACCGCCTGCATTTTGCCAAATTTCGCTTCCAATGATTCTGTTTCTTCTTTTCTTTTGGTTCGACATATTATCACCGACGTGATCTTCGTTGCACTCTCGTTATTTGGGTAAATAACGTATTAGTCGTTATTTAGGGTAACATCGATATTTATATTTGGGTAAATTAATATTTGACACTCATTACCATCAACCCATGAACCACAGTACCATCACAAACGAACGTCTCGAGAAATGAACATAATTAATTCGTGATGACGCGTCTCGTCTTTGAGGATGTACAAATTGGGAGACTTGCAAATTTTAGAATTTGCAAAGTTGGACTGCGTCAAATGTCTGACATTACATAGACCACTATCTTGCTACTCTATTGCGAGTAGATAATAAAGCGAAACCAAACGCCAAGAACAGAGAAAGGTGTCTCTAGCCACGTGATTGATCGTCGCTCTCCTAATCTACAGATGTCGACCCACCAGTTGGCGCGTGAAAAGGCTGACCCAGGTGTTCACAAGAGCTGCGGCTCCAATTGGTCGGAATAGAAAAATGACACGCGTATTTTCGGTGGTATTGCTTCGGCGATAGTTAAAGACAACTTAAGACAGTCGGTTTCACCTCGAACGTCAGGTCACATTGGGACTGTTCAAGGTGGGGTGCGTCTTAAGCCTGGGTCAGCCGCTACGCGCCAGGTTCAGGGTTGCGAAGAGTACCGATGTCAACCCACGAGTTGGCGCGCGAGTTGACGTGTTTAGAAGAGCTACAATTGGTCGGAATAGAAAAGTGGACGACTCACACGTATTTTCGACGGTGTATTGGCTCTCGCGGTCGCACACCAATTAGGCCAAAAACAGTGACAGGCAAACGTCTCGAGAGTGAGATAGCGCTACTTGCGTTCAGCAGTTGTTACTGTCATTATTGTTCTTATTTGGCGAAATGCAACGAAGTGTTCACGGTGGGGCTTCTTTTGGGACAACTCGGTTGACATCGGTACGTGATAGAGTCCGGGATATTGATTTTATTATTGTAAACTGATGTGTTTGTGGTGGACTCTTGTTATATTACACGTTGCAATAGGACTTATGGGAATGGGGGAGTGGGAATTGAAAGATTCAGTACGGTTAGAAGATATGGTTATGTGGTTGCGAGATTTAGTAATTGGGTGTGCAATGTTTGGAAATGAGTAGGGGAAATATAACGCGTAGGAAATACAACGCACAGCAAATATGTGGTGTGGGGAATACGAGCTGTTGGAAATACAACGCGTGGGAAGTTTAGCAGATAAGGGGAGAAATGACAACTCATGGGAAACGCTACGTGTAGAACATATTATACGTAGAAAATACAGTGCGTAGGAAATAAAACCTAACTATAAATTAGATATACAAAGCGATATGACAATAAAACCAAATATAATACTTGGCAATATAACAAGAGTCCACTGCAAGTAGTTCAATTCTTACGTAACATGAGTGTCCAATAATCAGTGCAACTGGCAATTATATAGAAAATGTAAAAACACAAATACTTTTGAAACATTTCCTTTCTTTTCGATCAAACGTGACAGAGATGTTGAAATGAAAAGCAGTTGAACGTGATGAACTAAAATGAAACGTAATATAATATGATGTAGAAAAATAAAATGAAATGTAGTAACATAGTGAAATATAAGGTAACATAAAGAAAAAAAATAAAATGTAATATAATATACAAACTTGAAATGAAGTATAACGTAACAAACATAAATGAAATATAATACAGTATAAAAAAAATGAAATGTATCGTAAGGTACACAAATGAAATGTAACACAGAAAAGAAATGAAATGTAGAGAAAAGAAATTGCAATGCACAAAAATGAAAAAGAATATAACGTAGGGAAAAGAATTGCAGTGCAATGCACTTAAGCGTAACATAAACGTAAATTAAGGAATAGAAGAATAGAAACGATTGAGAAAAGAATTAGATAAAGAGGAGAGTGCAACGATAGAATCATGGCGGTAGAAATAAAAAGAGACCCAGAAGCGACCGGGAGGATGCGGTTCCAAAGTTCCAAGAGGCTGACAGTAGCTCCTCTTTTGGTTGGTTGGTTGCATGACTAGCTGGCAGTGCAGGAAGCGGTAGCAGCAGTGGTAGCAGCAGCAACAGCCAAAACAGCCAGACTGGCGCATCGCCCTCGTCACCGGCGGCCGTCTACATCGGTAACAACGCGGCGACGCCCACGGCATCGTCGCGACGCTACGACTCCGCGAGCAACGGTCTGTATTCATTTTACAACCTGTAAAGTTACGTATTCCGCCAAAGGAACTAACAAATTTACTCTGTAATATATTCCACTTCGAGAGATTACTATTGGACAACGTTAATTTATAAAAATTTACAATCGGACAATGTTAATTTATAAAAATTTATAATTAGACAATGTTAACTTCAGAAATTTGCAAGCAGAGAACAATAACTCGCAAAATTTGCAATTGGATAATGTTAACTCTAAAAATTTGCAATCTGACAACGTTAATTCTAAAAATTTGTAATCAGACAATGTTAACTTCGGAAATTTGCAAGCAGAGAACAATAACTCGAAAAATTTGCAATTGGATAATGTTAACTCGAAAAATTTGCAATCTGACAACGTTAATTCTAAAAATTTGTAATCAGACAATATTAACTTCAGAAATTCGCAAGCAGAGAACAATAACTCGCAAAATTTGCAGTTGGATAATGTTAACTCGAAAAATTTGCAATCAGACAATGTTAATTCTAAAAATTTGTAATCAGACAAAGTTAACTTCAGAAATTTGCAAGCAGAGAACAATAACTCGAAAAATTTGCAATTGGATAATGTTAACTCTAAAAATTTGCAATCAGACAATGTTAATTCTAAAAATTTATAATCAATGTTAACTTCAGAAATTTACAATTGGACAACGATAACTACAAAAATTCGCTTCTTATGTTAACCTTGACATACTTCGAAATACTGACGCACTCACGGTTCAAACAACATAAATTTTGTTAGTCCTTTTAATACACTAACTAGACGTAGCATTATCTGACAATTTATTGCTTTTGGAGACAAAGTTGTCTGACTTCAAATTCTCAACTTGTGACGCACACTTCAAGAGTGACAAACCAGACTATTTTATACAGTCGTATTTTACATTTCGAATTACAAATTTCACATTATAGGTTACACAATTGTGACACAAAATGTGTTGAATATTTTAACCTTCATGTATCTTAACATTGTAGCAGTAATTAATTAATTATGAATAAGACAACCGAGTAGAAAATTGTAGGTTAACTCTCTAAGGCAGCGGCCATTTTGTGTCATCGACTGGAGGAAGGAGCCTTGCTAGGTTTAGTGTTAAAATGAAAATGAACCATTCCTTTGGTGGATACGTATCTTAACACCTGTGCTTTCTTCTCTGGTTTCATAATAATCAATAATACTGCGCCTTGCTACCCGCTTCGTATTTCCTTCTTTCTTTAGTATTATGTACATATGTACTAATTCTCTGTCAGTTTGAAATATGGTGTCAGAACAACACTTTGATCAACTACGTGCATATATGATTGTGTTCCTTATATGTCCACAATTACATACACATATGATTGTGTTCCCCATATGTATTCAATCACATGTACATGTGATTATGTTCCACATATGTACACGATTAGATGTACATATGATTATGTTCCCCATATGTATTCAGTCACATGTACATCTGATTATGTTCCCCATATGTACACGATAGGATATACATATGATTATGTTCCCCATATGTATTCAATCACATGTACATATGATTATGTTCCACATATGTACACGATTAAATGTACATATGATTGTGTTCCCCATATGTACTCAATCACATGTGCATATGATTATGTTCCACATATGTACACGATTAGGTGTGCATATGATTGTGTTCCCCATATGTACTCAATCACATGTACATATGATTATGTTCCACATATGTACACGATTAAATGCACATATGATTGTGTTCCCCATATGTACACAATCACATGTACATATGATTATGCTCCACATATGTACACAATCACATGTACATATGATTATGTTCCCTATACCTCCACAATTACATATACACACAATTATGTTTCTTACATGTAGACATCTGCATTTGAGTATAATTATGTCTCCCATATACACATAAAATTTAATTGGTGATCAAAAAAAACAACTATCCACTAAAATCAGTTCCTAACTAAACCTCCTCTAAAATCAACATCTAATCAGGTCCGAATTAAAAATGAAACTTTAACTTACCATGGAATATCATGGATATCATGGAATCATGTAACAAGATCGTGTAAATATCCCTAGGTAAATTTACTGATTGGTCGATTACGAATTAATCGCGTCACTGTTAACGCAACAATGAAAAATATCAAAACCGTAGGTAGATCAAATAAAAATCTGCAAAAAACGTTCGTATTTTATGCATCGTAACCTGTTGAGGATGCAGCGTATCGAATAACAGGTGTGCTAGGAACTTTTATTTTTTCATTAATATTTGTCGCGGGTGTCGATGAAATTGGATCGTTTTCGTAATATCGGAAAACCCGTGGTTGTCCCACGGTTTCAGGAAAATTGTACGCGATACAAACGATGCATTTCCACCGCGATAAATAAACCGTAACGAGGTCCCGGTTTTTCGATAATTTAAATGATTAATTTCATGTACGCAGATTGCGCGCGTCTTTTTTTATCGCCGTTCGATCGCGTCGTTCGCGAATAATCTTCGTTAATGCGTTTCATTGTACGCTTGCATTGTCGGGCTTGATTGATTCGCATAATAGACAAAAGTGCATTTATCGCGATCGGGCCCATAAATCAACCGCCCATTTCGCAAATGGATTTTTACGCTAACGTGCGCTGCTGTTAAAGTAGTTTGCGGGAAAATGGGGTGCATTCGAAATTACTAGGGCAATTTAACATAATTTTTGTGCTAAACACTGCATATGAAACGCAATTACGTATTGTCTATTCGTAACTTTTTTATTTAGACAATGATACTATTTTATTTGGGTAAAGTTGCTGGAGAAAGTTACCCTTAAAAGTTACAGGGGTAGTAATTTAATATTGTGGTTACATTAAATAGTATTGAATTTATTTTTAAATAATGTCTTCGTACATTAAATGTATAATATAATCATTTTTTTATTTGAGTAGTATAATACAAATTCAATTTGATAGAATTATGGGACTACCCTTACTAGGATAACAATTTAATATTGCATTCTTAAAGCAACATTACATATCGAACAAAATAATTGTATTTTACCTAACATCGTCGTAAATAAAAAATATAATAAAGGTTCAGTGTGAACAAGAATATAATAAAACAAATTAAATTAGACAAAATTATACAGCATCCTAAAAATTGCCAGGGTGACAATTCTTACATTCATCACTAATTATCTTCATAAATTAAACTCGTAATATAACAAATTTTTACTTTGTTCAAAACTATGATAACACATTTCATTTACACAAAATATATAAACCATAAAAAGTTTGCAAAAAAAGAATTAATTAATAAGAATGCAGTTAATAAAAATCATTGCATCGTTTCATTATACAACAACACTATTTTATAGCATCCTTCGAATAACTAAAATTACGTATCTTATTATGATCCTCAACTACGATCCTCAAAAAAAAACTCAACACTTAAAATTACAAAAAAGATGATAAATATGAAATTATAAAAAAATGCAAAGTAACGTATAAAAGTGATAAGTACGAGTATGTAATATCCCGCATGAACCAGAGAGGAAAGCCCGTTCGTTGTGTTTTAATTTTGGAAAATCAATGTTGGATGACCCTGTGCCCATGTGTGTGTTTATGCATGTTCCGATTGCACTCGTGGCTGGCATGTCGCGTCGATTATCAATTGCATGATAAAACGAACGAAAATATCAGAGCCGGACATACGCCGGACCATCGGCGCCGGATACGTGCAGCTCGGTCCGGTTGAGTGCAGCGAACCGGAAGACGGTAAGAAGAGAACCAAGGACGGTAAGGCCGCAGGGAAAAACACGAGCGCAAAGGACGAGGATGCCTGCTCGAAGCTTAAACGGTGTTGCTTGTCGTGAATTTACAACGCGGGCGACGCTCGACGATGCCCATTTTTTTCTTTTTTTAGTTCCAAGTACATTTGCACTTTTCTGTTCACGATTTTAAGCGAAAGGTTTTCCTCGGTTTTGAAGGAAATTTTGAGCAAAAGGTTCTCCTCGGTTTTGAAGGAAATCGGATGTTTTGGAGAGAAATTTAGAATTTTGCAAATTTAGGATTTTACGATTTTGTACGTCACTTTAGGCACAATTTTGAGGGTTTGCAAATTTTTGGAATTAAATAATTTTGAGGAGGCTCGTCGAGCGACGCGGCAGAGCATGTACATCGTTTTGCCTTTTGGCGATTGCTCCTTCCAGGGCGCCATTTTTTCTGGCGTTGATCCCTGGAATTTTTTATTTTTTAGTAGATCTCTCTGCCACACGATGAAAGAAGCATAACAGAAGCAATTATTATTAGCAACAGTTACAACTATTATAGTCAAACAAATTATGGTCACACAAATTATTAACGCACTAACTTTCGAACACAAAAATTTACCGCTCAAACTACACCGAATTCTATCTCAAGAATTCTGTACATACAAATAAAAGGAAAAATGAGTTAACTTTTAGACTGTACATAACATCGTATGGCAGAGGACAATTTTTGCAAGTAGTACAAATTTTAATTTTGCCTGACGGCGACGCGCAAGTAGTAAGTATCGTTGTTGGTCAGACAAGCAGCTCGTCCACGAGTACGCAACAAGAACAACAACAATGAGAAGTTCCACGGCACTTTAGTCATCGTACAACTATAGAATACTATCGGGATTCTAGGATCTCGAGACTCGCACGAACCCATTTACGTTCCACTTGTTTTTTTTTTTTATGTTCAATTTCGAGAAAACACGCGCGGTGACACGCACAATCGCGCACCGGAGGATGTCAAGTAAAATGGAGGAAATCGAACGAACACTAGTCGGAACTTTTTTCTCCCCGTTGTTCGTCCCGTACTATTGTATCGCATCGTTTAGTGCGCAGACTTCGTTAAAATATCATTTCTGTTGGCGATATAGCGAAATTGATCGATATGGCGATCAAGCGATGATGTGGATGTTGAAAGGTGGCCATTTTTGATTGTGGGATTTTCGAATTTGGGAACTTCATGATCTGGGGATTTGGAGATTGCGGGATCTGAGGATTTGGGGTTTTATGGGGAATCTAGGGATTTATCCTTTTGAGGATTAGGAAATCTGGGGACTTGCAAATTTGGAGATTTAGAGATTTGGAGATTTAGAGATTTAGAGATTTAGAGATTTAGAGATTTAGAGATTTAGAGATTTAGAGATTTAGAGATTTAGGGATTTAGAGATTTGGAGGTTTGGAGATTTAGAGAATTTTAGATCTGGGGGATTTGCGAATTTAGGAATCTTGCGATTTCGAGATCTACGGATTTGAAATTTGAAAGATTTGGGAATCTAGGAATTTCGGAACTTAAGATGTGGGGAATCTAGGGAATTTGCGAACTAGAAAATTTCGGGATGTGAGGGATTCGGGTCCTAGAAATTTCGATATCTCTCAATTTTAGGATTTAAGAACTTGAGAATGTAAAAATTTTGTGATCTAGGGATTTTGAAGCTTAGACTTCTGTAATCTAGGGAATTCACCAAGTAAGAAATTTGTGATCTAAGAAGTTCGATATTTGTCAATTCCAACATCTAGGGATTTCGGAACCTAGTAATTTTATGATCTAGGGATTTTTGAACTTGTGCTACTGGAATCTAGGGAATTTACAAAATAGAAAATTCTTAACCTAAGAATTTCAGTATCCAAGAAAGTTTCAAAAGTAACTTCAAAAATGGCCATTACTCAACGTCATCTTATTTCGCCCTGTTTAATATATTGCAATTTCCCCAAAATCAAAAAATTACAATTTAATCGATAAATTGACGACAATCAGTTGAATTAGATTTCAAAAATCAGTTCAATCAGCTCAAACTAAAAATTTATCCTCCACTGATAAATCAAAAATATAATTCATCGAAATGGTATTTTGTAAGACGTAGGAACATTCGATTAGGCTATATCGTCCACGCTGAACGCTACAACATCCACGTTGTAATCCATGTGTAGGCGCAAAACTTGTGAACGTACCAATAAACTAATGAAAACCCAATATACGTTGTGTTGTGTGAAAAAAGGAAACGATCGTTGGACAGGCTTCGTAGTTAACGATAATTAACGCTAGCACGCTGGTAGACAATGATTTGTTGAGCGCAATTTAGATCGAACACGGTTTAAGAAAGAAATCACTCGAACGACTGTAACGAGCACCCGATTGTGACCATGATTTCACACTGTCGTTTGTTCACATGTGTGTACGATATTCATGTGTGGACTACCATCTTTTCGACTGCTGAAATCGCCTCGAGTCTTCGAACGACGTTAGTGTTCAACATTGGGACATTTGGTTTTGGAACATGGAGAGTCCTGCTTGAAGTTCCTAGTTGTTAAAGTTTTACAAATTTATTTCAAGCAATCAAATTGATCCTCAATTTATAATATTCCCAAATTTCTTAATATCTGAGTCCCTGTGCTTCCATATTTCTCAACTATTCATTTTCCAAATATATAAATCCCTATATATCCATGTCGCCATGTACCCATCTCCCAAATCCCTATTTTCCAAATATCCAAATCTCTATATCCCGATATCTCTATTTCCCCATCTCCCAAATCCCCATTTTCCCAAATATCCAAATCTAAACATCCCCATATCTCCATCCCCCCATTTTCCAAATTCCAAATTCCCATATTCCCAAATCCCAAGTTTCCCAATTCCAAGCTCCCAAATTCCCAAATTCCCCAAATCCCCATCTCCCCAAATCCCAAGCGCCCCAAATCCCAAGCGCCCCAAATCCCAAGCTCCCAAATTCCCAAATTCCCCAAATCCCAAACGCCCTAAATCCCAAACGCCCCAAATCCCAATCGCCCCAAATCCCAAGCTCCCAAATTCCCAAATTCCCCAAATCCCCATCTCCCCAAATCCCCAGCTCCCAAAATCCCCAGCTCCCCAAATCCCCACCTCCCCAAATCTCCATCTCCCAAATCCCCAAACCTCAAAATCCCCAAGTTCCAAAAACCAAACCCGCCATTCCTATCTCCACACATTCCCAAATCCCGCATTGAATTTCCAATTAACCAAATCCCCAAATCCTCGTCTCCAAATCCCTAAATCCCTGCATTCCAGAGCGTCTAAATCCGTAAATTTGCAAAGTCTAAAATTCCCATCTAAATTCAGCAATTCGTCTTCGTTACTTGAAACTCCAAGCAATCCGATCGACGTAAAAAGAGAAACTGCAACGTAACGAGTTTGAAGGAAGAAAAGTGTAAGAAACGAATGAAATGGAAAATCGTTGAGATAAGCTGCGGAAAGTGACGCGTTCTTCGGCAGGAGGGGAACACGAAGAAGAGTAAAGACGTGCTAAGCACGGAGACGAGACCGGAGAAGACGGTTAATCCTCTTGCGTGTGGATTAAGCTCCGCGACATTTTCCGTTCAAAGAACCTTTCCACGATTCCTTTCCTTTGCTTTTGATCATCGATCTTTTAACGCGTTTGCTGTTTTCCATGTGGACATGTCTTAATTAATGTTAGTTAATATTGTTAGGCAACGTTGAATACCATTGGTCAAATAGTGTGTTGAATATTATTAATCAAGTAGTGTCATGTCAACAATGTTTGTTAACATCAGTTGAGTATCGTTAGACAAGTTATGTGATGTTCATATTATTAGGTAACTTTAGTTGAACACTATTAGACAGGTTGTATGATGTTCATGTTATTAGGTAACTTCAGATGAACACCATTAGACAGGTTGTATGATGTTCATATTATTAGGTAACTTTAGTTGAATACCATTAGACAGGTTGTGTGATGCTCATATTATTAGGTAACTTCAGATGAACACCATTAGACAGGTTGTATGATGTTCATATTATTAGTTAACTTCAGTTGAACATTATTAGACAGGTTGTGTGATGTTCACATTATTAGCTAACTTCAGATGAACACCATTAGACAAGTTATGTGATGTTCATATTATTAGTTAACTTCAGTTGAACATTATTAGACAGGTTGTGTGATGTTCACATTATTAGCTAACTACAGATGAACACCATTAGACAAGTTATGTGATGCTCATATTATTAGCTAACTTCAGTTGAATACCATTAGACAGGTTGTATGATGTTCACATTATTAGCTAACTTCAGTTGCACGCCATTAGGCAAGTTGTGTGATGTGGACATCATTAGCTACCTTCAGTTGAGTACCATTAGTCAAATGGTATAATGTAGACATTACTAGCTAACTTCAGTTGAATACAATTAATTGAATGACATGATGTTGACATTAGTAGCTAACTTCAATTGAACATCATTAGTCAAATGGTTTGATGTGGACATTATTAGCTAACTTCACTTGATCACCATTAGTCAAATAGTATGACGTTGATATTACTAGCTAACTTCAATTGAACACTATTAGTCAAATGGTCTAATGTTGACATTACTAGCTAACTTCTATTGAACATCATTAGTCAAATGGTTTGATGTGGACATTATTAGCTAACTTCACTTGATCACCATTAGTCAAATAGTATGACGTTGATATTACTAGCTAACTTCAATTGAACACTATTAGTCAAATGGTCTAATGTTGACATTACTAGCTAACTTCTATTGAACATCATTAGTCAAATGGTTTGATGTGGACATTATTAGCTAACTTCACTTGATCACCATTAGTCAAATAGTATGACGTTGATATTACTAGCTAACTTCAATTGAACACTATTAGTCAAATGGTCTAATGTTGACATTACTATCTAACTTCAATTGAACATCATTAGTCAAATGATATGATGTGAACATTATCAGCTAACTTCAGATGCCCAACTTTAGTCAAGTGATGTGATGTTGACATTGTTGACTAGCACTGATTACTTGATTAACATTGATCACATTAATCATAGCTAATGAATATTAATATCTAGTGACAGTAAGTAAATTTCAATTACACAATTTGTACAAGAAAAGACACTGGATCTTAAAGTACCTAGATGTCCACATCGCAGGCTCTCTAAACACCTACATCCCTAAATTCATTTCTAAATTCATGTCTTGAAGTATTCTATCTCCCAAAATTGTTTACATCCCAAAATCCCTTTCTCCGCAGCGAACGCGTTAATTAAAGTAACCAAAAGCCGCGGATCTTAATCTTCCGCGAGACCGCTTGAATCACGCTGAAAAGTCCTGCTGCCTGCGCTGAAGCGATTTCATAGCAAAAAATCATGAAAGAAAAAAAAACAAAAAGCGTTTAAGGGTACCGATATCTTAACTATGTGTATGTATATATTCTATATATATTGCTTGTAGAAATAAGAATCGTGTGTCCTATCAAGACCTGCAGCCAGCTCTCGACGAACTCCCAGTGCTCAGGTAACGGAAGAATATCTCTCTGTCTCTCTCTCTCTGTCTCTCTCTCTCTCTATCTCATACACATGATACTTTCTCTGTCTCTCTCTCTATCTCTCTCTCTCTCTATCACTCTCTTTCTAAACGACATCGATGAAATGTACTGGAAAATATGGCGCGTAGAACCGAGATAGAGTAATGTAAATTTGTTGTTTTTCGCTCGCTGTGGTGCGCAGTAGGATAGTTAAGCAACCCTGTGACGACGGTGGTGGTCGCGTGATTGGTCGAAGATCAATCGAGGATTCAGAGAAGATCACGATCCATCTATCATTCCTTTATTTATTCTTTTTTTATCGACTTAGAGAAAGGGTGAAAATTTTTGGAATTGGAATTTTTGAGACGGAAATCGCAACCGCAGTTGCGTTTCGTGGATGGGTAGAAGAGAAACGAGTTGTAACCCTTTGCGAGAAATTTTAACGATATCGCGTGTGGAAGTCCGCTCACGCGATATCGCGTTGGGTATACGTGCTATTCGACCGCTGTGGCACACGTCTACGGGTATTCGCAAAGGGTTAACACAGAGGAGACTTGGGAAAGAGGACACTGCGTTTATTGGTAAATTACTCGATTTTGAAGAAGCTTCTAGCGATCGGCGGCGACTTTTGTTTCAGCGTTTTACCACGTGAACAACGAGAAACCTTTTTTCTTTTCTTTTCACCACGGATATCGATTCCGTTCGCCGACCAATGAAGGATCTGCAAAGGGCCTTCGAAATTCCCCAGTCTCGAGCTGCGTCGAGCGTATCGGAGAGGAAACGAGCCGATTCGCGCGACGCGTGCAACGACCAGACACGCTCGATCGTTTCCATTTGAACGAATCGCACCGATATCGTTTTTTTCCGCTGGCCAACGTCCTTTCATTTCTCGCGATTGTAATCGGTGCTCGTCAAGTGGAAACTGAAAATTTACCAACACAGATTTACTCCTCGAACGATTTCGGGGATGTAACAGCTTCGGGGGAGCATGGGTCGTTCGTGGAAGGTGATGGGCGACTTGGAGCAAATTGTGATTTTTCATTTTCAAATTTAATAATTTTCTAGTTTGATGTTTGGGTTGTATATTTAAATTTTTAGGTATTCATTATGATACTAAAATACTCAAATTTTATTTTAGACAATTTGGTATTTCTGTACTTCTAAATTTGTAAGTTCTTACATTTCTGAATTTCTCTTAAATTTTCAAGTTTCAAGATTTTGTGTCTTTCAAGTCTCAAAATTTAATTTTCACCAGTTTCCAAAATTGGAAATCTCAAAAATTGATCTCTAAGGCTCTTCAACACCTGTAAAGTGCCCTCAAGTGCCTGCGAGCTCAACTTGCCCTCAATCAGCCCATCACCGACATTTATACAACCCATGAAGCAAAATTTATTCAAACACACCGAAATCACCAAAACACTCCTACAAAATACAATAAAGTACCATAAAGTACCACAAAACTGAACTAAAAAAAGAAATAGTAAAAAGAATGACAACAAATCACGAAAGGCCCATCTCCCTTTCGCCCTCAAAAGATAAATCATTCGAGGATCATTGGAGTCCAAAAAGCGTCGAAATTAAATCGAAGGACAATTGGGTTTCGCAGGTAACGGGATTTTTGACTTTTGAAACGACTCCAATGAAAGTACCGTGCGCGTCCGACGAGTTGGCGCTCGAACAGGATTGGAGGAATTAACCGGCTCGTCGTACGCGCGTAGTACGTGCATCGGTGAAAGATAATTTTTTGGCGTAGGATGTAGAAGTTGATAAAACGATAAAGAGAATAATGATTCGTGCATGTGACTGTTGTACCGTACGATGTGTCGGTATGAGCCCGGATCGGTTGTGTTGATCGGGCGTGCCGATCGGGCGGTTTCCACTGATCGATAATCTGTTGACGATTCCAGCACGCCGTCAGGAGATCATCAAGATGACCGAACAGCTGATCGAAAGCATCAATACTGGCGATTTCGAGGCGTACACGTAAGTGACACGTTATTGGTTTTTTTTATTGGTGACTTAACGATATTTATTAGTGTTTATGATAGTAAACGATGCTTAAATAATATTTATACTGTTAAGCAATTCTTAAAGGTGACTTAATATCACTTTTGTATAAAGTGACGCGATATCTTGCACTATGATTTATTTGTCGAGTGCGTCAGACAGAACTCACTAATTATGGTTACAGTATTAAAGTAGACTGAAAAAGTTGAAATATTATGTCAATTTAGTATTATGCTAACGTTGATTATGAAAATTGTAACAGGTCTTGAATTCCAAGTTGAAGAGTATTAAAAATTTGAGTGAAATTGATCACAGCTGAAGTACGAGTACGTCACATGACTCGACAAAATGGTGCAAGGTTAACATGCTAAGAGTTCAGCAGTAATTAACAGTTTAACAGTTCGACAATGATTAATAACTTAATAACGTGATAATAATTGACAATTTGACAATTTGACAATTTGCCAACTAGACAACTAGATAACTAGACAACTTGATAACTTGACACTAACTAACTTCTTAAAAACCTCTTTGAAGTGAACTCGTGTCCGCCATTTTGTTTAGCTTCGTGCAAGACGAAACTTCAACCCACCTCGAAAAGTTGTAGCTATTTTTCTATTAAATAACTGAAATTATTGAACCCAAATTGCACACAATATTAATACAAAATTGAACTAATTTAACAATAATCATTTTATCATTATTTAATATTAAAAAAAAAATTCTGTACAACTTTTTTATTTTTACCAAAAAGATTTTTCTAACATTTACACCTTCGTTACTGAAACAGTTAATTGTTTGATAAACAAGAACCATTTATTTACAAAGTTTGCGTTCGACGCTGATATATTAAATATTATAATGAATGTATATAAATATTAATCGATATATGCATTTACGTATGCAGAATGTACCACTGAAGTGTACACACTTCGTTGTTACACAATCTACTTGATAAAACAACGGTGATGAAGTTATTATGTTGATTATTCTGAAATTGTATGTAAATATGTTCCAAATGAGCAACATCGGTCACGTTTCATTTTTATTATCATTTATGCATATTAAGGTTTTAATTCTGTTTTAACATTCTGTTTGCGCGCTCTTTAATTAATTGTGCAACAGTTAGTTCAAGAAAAAAGATATATTTTTTAAGTTCATCGATAATTTCATCTTGACTTGATTTTCTTCAAATGTATATTATTACTGATTTTTTTTAAACTGCAAATTATGAAGAAATTTTTTTTTAAACATAAAGTATGACTATATTTTTTTGAACATGTGTTATGATTGATTTTGTACGAACATAAATTGTGATTTAATTTTTTTCAAACATAAATTATCATTGAATTCTTTTTTAAACATAAATTATGATTTTGTTCTTTGAACATAAATTATGATTATATTTTTGTTGAACATAAATCTTGATGAAATTGTTTTTGAACATAAATTATGATTATATTTTTTGAACATAAATTATGATTATATTTTTTGAACATAAATTATGATTTAATTTTTTTGCACATAGATTATGATACCATTTTTTTTTAACATAAATTATGACTGAATTCATGCAACCACGAACAATGATCGAACTCTCAAACCAAAATAATGACAAAATCTTGTCAAGCATAAAATCCGCTAAACCTTTTCAAGCAAAAATAATGATTAAAACCTTGAAACATAAATTATGATCAACCCACTTCGACCACGAAACCCGAATAAATTGTTCACAAAACTCATGAAATAATTAAGTAACCCGATCGAATGCAAATTCAAAATATAACGAAAAATAGAAAAACACGTTTGTTCAATCAGCATAATAATTTCGGTCGCCGAAGAAGGCAAAATTTTGATGGAGTTTCACGCCATGAATATAAATTTTGATTGAATGCTAATGAAGCCCCGTGAAAAATGTAACATGCAGACGTTTTCTAATGACATTTGCGTTTCCAGGAAAATCTGTGATCCACATCTGACCGCGTTCGAGCCAGAGGCTCTAGGTAATTTAGTCGAGGGAATGGATTTCCACAAATTTTACTTTGATAATGGTAATTATGACTCATTTGCATCACCGTTTAATCGTAAACGCCCGCACCGTTGTGCCTACGTTCGATCATTTTTAGTTTCATTGCTCGGCTGCATGTCGCTACCGTCTCCTAGTGAATTCGATTCTTCTCTTCTCGATTTTTTCCCTATTTTCTTCGAGAGAGAATTATCGTTCACTTGGACGCGGTAATCAATTGAAATCAACGCAATTTTTGTTATCCCTGTTTACGCATTCTTTTTGTTACGAACATTGGTGTAACTAGAAGGGTGGAGTCACATAGTAACTGTTCTAGGGACATTTTAGTAGTATCAGATAGAAGCAACCATCCTAGGAATATTAATTCACTATCAACTTATAGTGACCATGTGGTTTTTGGAAATTCGAGAATTTGGGGTTTTGGAAATTTCAGAAGTGGAGAATTAAAAATTTGGGGAATTGCAATTTTGAGTAAGTGGGAATCTGGTGAAATTTAGGGAGGATGGTGGAATTTAGGGAACTTGGATCTAGGGAATTTGGAATCTTGAAAATTTCGAATGTGTAATATTGTAAGTGCAGAAAATCTGGAATCTGGGGAATTGAAAATTTAGGGAGCCTAATTTAATAATTTGTGAATACTATACTTTGACAATTGGTAAATTAGGAGCTGACAAATTTAAGAATTGATAACTCAAAAACTTGAGTAGTTAAAAATTTCAAAATTTTCAATATCATTTTTGCTTAACAATAGCAACCACATATGTATAGTATTACCATATGTAACCTATCCACATGTATTAACAGAAGCTACAGTCCACATCTAGTTACATCAATACAACTCTCTCAACCCTAACATCGATACGCTTCTTATTGCACTTTCGTTCAAATTTTCAAATTTTAATAATGCACGAAGTTGCTCGTAAACGAATTTGCATATTAAAGAGTGTAGGCGCAGACCGTCAAAGACACGTTCCCGTTTGTTCCGGCGCGAAAATGATACCATACAGCTTTATCTTTTTTCCTTTCTATGCCTGTTAAATCCTAGGAGAACCAATACTTGAACAGTATTCTCTCGCTACCATTTTTCTCTTCCTTTTGTATTTATCGTTGCCTTGGAGAAAGAAAGCTTTCGCAGACCCACGAATAACGAGTATCTTACTTTTCACAAAAAAACCATAAGCAGTCCTGGGGAAGAACTGCAAAGTCGTCAACACGACGATCCTGAATCCTCATGTGCACCTTTTGGGAGAGGATGCAGCGTGCATCGCGTACGTCAGGTTGACGCAGTACATGGACAAGTAAGTTTCTTTTTCTCTTTTTGAAAAATGAGGGACATACAAACATTACATATTGCATTATTATAATATTCATGATACATCATATATACATTTTTAGACATGTATGTGTGACATGTGTAATGTTCAACACATGCACATACACCTTTAACATACATGTACATATACACATACATACACATATGTATATGAGCATATGTGATGTGTATATATACATATACGTACGTGCACACACATATAATTCACTTACATGTACACATACACATGCATATGCACATGTATACACATACATACACACATGTAACCATGTATACATATGTGACATGCATATACACATACATATACATATGTATACACATCACATATGCACATATACATATGATGTATATAATGTTCATCTTGAACATACATACATATGTTCAAGAATGTAAGAACATCATATGTGAGTGATGCAGGGTGTGTATAATCAGACATGTCTCATGTTCCACGTTTTAAGAACAAAACTATGTAGCAGATATTTCAAGGAAATTGTGAAATATACTTGATGCTAAGAATTTGATCTATTCAAGGAAAATTTGAACGACCTCCAAAGTTTGGAGGAAATACAACCCTGTGGTACAAGTATTTTATGTCTGATCATATTCGGTCCAATATCCCTTGTTTTACGACGACATTTACTGGGTCAATGATTGCAACAACCTGAATTCTCCAAATTCCAAGCTCTCCAAATTCCCAAATTACAACGCTTCAGCTATCTTCAACCTTACTAACAATTGAACTTCAGCCACTGAAGTTCCCTTAGATCTCTATTCCCATGTTGGATCTACAAGTTATAGATACGTTAAAAAAATGTGATCGAATGTTGCAGACAAGGCGTAGCGCACACTCACCAGAGCGAGGAGAGCCGCGTGTGGCACAAGAGAGATAACAAATGGCAAAACGTGCATTTCCACCGAAGCGCGGTGACAGGTCCATCGCCGTTCTCCTTCAACCACAAGTAAATCGATCGTTGAAGAAGAGAAAAGAAACGAGGGAGGATGTAGAAGCAGAAGAACACGACGAAGAAGAAAGGCCGATGTGTCGGTGGACGCTCGTCACCTCGACACGTGGAACGAACGAACCGTGCAACAATACACAAACAAACACAAACACACACAGGTACACGTATATACACACATCGTACACGCGTTACATTCGAGGCTAACAAGCCGAGACTACAACCTCCCGTGTCGGATAAATGGATAAATACATAATGCAGGCGTGTATCTATTTATTTGTTTATCGCGACGAGTACACACTTAGTATTATAAGCGCGACAAAATGGAGGAAGGAATGCCGCGAGAATGCTGGAATTAAGCCGGCGATTAACTCGCTAAATGGTACCTGCTCAGAGTACTTACCGCGATACACCGATCGGTGACGCAGCATCGACGAGAGGACTTCCGGTGAAGAGATACGACCTTCAAAACACCTCGACTTCTGTTCTTCGACGATTAAGGATATAACGGGAAGATTATTGATCGTAACTGAGAAACGAACCTGAAACGAAGCTTCTTCTTCATAAATCATGAAAATCATGCAAGATGGACAAGTTTCTGTTTCTTCATGAATTATGAAGTAATAGCAAAGTAGCAAGAAAGTTGAGTCAAGGGAAGATGTTGAAAGGTCAAGTTGAAAATGCAGATGAAAATCTGGACAACGTATTATTTCTTCTTCATGAGTTATGAAATACTGCACATGTTGAAGATGATGAAAGCATTGCATCGAGGAGGCTGTTGAAACATTTAAGTCTGAAGATGAAGAATACATGCACAAGGTTTTGTTTCTTCGTGAATTACCAAATGTAACAGTATGTTGAAGATAATATAAAAATTGTATTGGAGGAGACTATTAAAACATTCGACTTTGAGTGGAACGAAGGAAACGTATGAAGATGAAGAAATACTACACAAGCTTTTCTTCATGTATCATCAAATGTAGCAAAATGTTGAAGGTAAACGAAAAGTTGTATCGAGGGAGATTAATCATTCGACCCTGAGTGGAATGAAGAAAAAGTATGAAGATGAAGAAATACTACACAAGTTTTTCTTCATGTATTATGAAATGTAGCAAAATGTTGAAGGTAACAGGAAAATTGTATCGAGGGAGATTAAACATTCAACCTTGAGTGGAATGAAGAAAATGTATGAAGATGAAGAAATACTACACAAGCTTTTCTTCATGTATCATCAAATGTAGCAAAATGTTGAAGGTAAACGAAAAGTTGTATCGAGAGAGATTAAGACATTTGACCTGAAATGAAGAAAACGTCTGAAGATGAAAACCTAGACAAGCTTTTTCTTCCTGAATCTAAGAGAGTCCCGTAACTAAGAGAAGAACAGAATTTTTGAAAGATCAGTAAAGGTCGAGGTAGGATCTGAAAGAAGTACCGAGATGAAGAGATGTGTTCCGATCGACTCGATGCTGGACATCGACGAAGTGAGCGTTGTAACCATGAAGAAAGGAGCGGAAGTAAAGGTGCACGGAAGAGAGGAAAATGGAATGTCGAGAAAGATGGCGCCGGCACGTCGGCAACCACGTATTTAGCTCGTAACGATAGTCGCTGTACAGAACAATCTTCCATTGTAACTTTCTTCTTCTAATTTTCGTTCTCGTCTCCCGCTAAGACGAATCCCATGTAGATCTGCGCGTGCGATCGAACACACACATACACGTTAATTATCGTTCCGAAGAAATTCGTTTGATAAAAGCGTATACATTCCAAAATTTGATTAAGTAACAGATTCACTGGTTTTGAAAATTCATTTTGAGGTTAAATGAGGGAACTGAATTATGTTCACTCGTGGAGATTGTAATACGTATGGCGAAGGAAAATGGTATTAATGTACCTTGCAGTTACTTTGAATTAAATATTGTATTATGTTAACATGTGTGGTTTGATACCTTCAGACTGTGAACGTTCCGGAGAGGCTGTATTGTTTCTTCAAGCTCCACTGTGTAATACTTTTGATTTGAGTTACGGGGTTTGGGCATTTGAGAATTTAAAAATTTTGGGAATTTGAAGTATTGATCTTAGGTGGTTAGAAGATTTAGACTTAAGGATTTGAGGAGTTAGATTTAGAAATTCAGGGATCTGGAGATTTCAATTTTTGGTCACTTGCACAATTTGGAAGGGGACAAAGTTAAGAAGATTTGTGTATATTTAGACTTTGAAACTTAATTATACTTGAGAATCTGCAAATTATGAATATTAAAAACATTAACTTGAAATCTAGTTTCCTATATTTTGATATATGATCAGCTTTACAACCCAGTTTTAACCGTCGTCTGAAGGTAACCTAACTATCCAATACTATTTTCATTCGCTCATGTACACACACAGAACTAAAATACGCGCGATAGTCGAGGGAGAGAAGAGCGATGTTTAAACGTTGTTACCTCATTGTCGTAAGGCAATTTCGCGGCTAGCAGGATTGCGAGTCGAGTCCCTAAGAGCAGACCGCCTCCGCGCGAAAATCTTAAGGAGAAGTCTGAAGACGCAAGGTTTGCCAGCAAAGAGGAACGAAGAAGAATATTCGACAAGTTATCGAAGACTTTGTTGAATCTTCGTTCGCTAAAATGGAGAAGGAAGCACGATGGATCTTTCTACACGTTCGTACATCCTCTATTAATTACTAGATACGACTTTACGAGAGTATAAATCGATTATAAAATGAACAAGATTATCTAGAAGAGATACCAATGCACGTTCGGCGGTGGGGACAAGAAAGGAAGAAAGGTGCGAAAGAAAGGAGCGTCTCCATCCGCGAGATTATTGAAGGAACATTTTTATTTATATATATGTTATAATATGTATAGGGGTGCGCGCGCGTGCAGTCGCGCGAAGAGGACACACGCGCGTTTCCGGCGTTACTCGAATCGCGTGCCACGCGGTTATGAAATGTCGGCGAGAACCATTTTCTTCTTTCGTCCTCCTCCATTTTATAGATAGTGTTTAGTGTCTAACTCACTTTCTACTTCTGCGTGTTAGAGTTTCGATTGCATTTGGAAGTGAACGGGTTGCGATTTTACGTTCTTGCGTCACGATTTAGTATCTTCTAGTATCGAAGAAGGGTATTTGCACGGATTTCACTGGTGGAGATTATGGGGATGCTGATATTGGGATACTAGGGCTTAAGGAACATAATGTGGTACTAGTATCCTACTGACGTATACTTGTGATACTGGTATGGCATTAGTGTAATCGATATTAGTATACTATGATACTATGAGCATCATCTAAGTATCACAGGATTGTATCTTGTGGTCATGGCATTGCATGAGAATAACCATGTGATTCTAGTATCTTAAGATTGTGATCTTGTGATACTAGCATCCTGTAAGAATAACCTTGCGATACTGGTATTTCATTAGTGTGATCTTGCAATACTAGTATTGTATGAACATCATCTAAGTATCACAGAATTGTGCCCTGTAGTCATGGCATTGTATGAGAATAATCTTGTGATTCTAGTATCTTAGGATTGTGATCTTGTGATACTAGTATCCTGTAAGAATAACCTTGCGATACTGGTATTTCATTAGTGTGATTTTGCGATACTAGTATTGTATGAACATCATCAAAGTATCACAGAATTGTGCTCTTGTGGTTATGGCATTGTATGAGAATAATCTTGTGATTCTAGTATCTTAGGATTGTGATCTTGTGATACTAGTATCCTGTAAGAATAACCTTGCGATACTGGTATTTCATTAGTGTGATCTTGCGATACTAGTTTGTATGAACATCATCTAAGTATCACAGAATTGTGTCTTGTGGTCATGGCATTGCATGAGAATAATTTTGTGATTCTAGTATCTTAGGATTGTGATCTTGTGATACTAGTATCCTATATTAATAACCTTGCGATACTGGTATTTCATTAGTGTGATTTTGCGATACTAGTATTGTATGAACATCATCAAAGTATCACAGAATTGTGCTCTTGTGGTTATGGCATTGTATGAGAATAATCTTGTGATTCTAGTATCTTAGGATTGTGATCTTGTGATACTAGTATCCTGTAAGAATAATCTTGAGATACTGGTATTTCTCATGAACATCATCTAGCGATACTAGTATCTCATCTAGTGATACTAGTATCCCAAAGGAGTGCTCTTGTTATACCAGTACCTCCACTAGTATAATCTCATAATACTATCCCACTGTCTTATCCTATGACTAGTATCCCATGAATACCAGCGTACCACGAACATAATCTCGCAGTATTAGTGCTCACCAACGTGATCTTGTGATACTACCCTACGAGAATACCTTACTAGTATCCAAAATAATCTTTCCATGAACGTCACGATACTACTATCCCAGTGGCATAACCTTGCGATACTATCCCATTAGTGAAATCACATACCAATGTCCCACAAGCGTCACGATACTAATATCCCAGTGGCGTAACCTTACGATACTATCCCATTAATGAAATCGTATACCAGTATCCCACAAGCGTCACGATACTAGTATCCAAATGGCATAATCTTGCGATACTATCCCATTAGTAAAATCGTATACCGATGTCTCACGATACTAGTATCTCAGTGCATAATCTTGATACTATCCCATTAGTGAAATCGTATACCGATATCTCACGATACTAGTATCCAGTGCATAATCTTGATACTATCCCATTAGTGAAATCGTAAACCGATATCCCACGAGCGTAATCTCGAAGTAACCTTGCGATACTGGAGCGTCACGCGAGCGTAATTGGATACTGGTAACAGATAGGAAGAATCTGTTGAATCTAGTATCCGAGGAGGGTGTTGCGTTAATTTCAGTACGAAATCGTTCGGTTCTCGCGACCGTGGTCGCGCGGGAACGCGCGTGCAGGTGCGTGCAGATGCGCGCGCGCGCGTCCCACAAACCTACCGCGTATGTATATTGATACACAAGAATAGCGAGAAAGGAGTGGAAGGCGACGATGATAAACGATGGCGAAGATGATGAAACGATTTAATATATTGCAGATACTATATTATAAATATAAATATAAACATAAATTAAAAAAACTTAAGGAATAGTTATTTCTACTACTCTAACTTCGTCGCTTCTACGTGTGATTGTTGTATAAAACAGAAAATAACAAAAAATACGATTATTGATTTATTATCATTGTTATTACACGATTATCATTACACGTTACGACTACTATTAATATTATTATTATTATTATTGATTATTGATTATTATTATTATTATTATTATTACAATTATTATTATTGCCGAGCGAAAGCAGTCTAGGGAGAACACGAATTGTTGAAAGAAAGAGATTTAAAGAAAACAGACAAAAAAAGTAACAAATAAGAGAGATTAAGAGTGCAAGAGAGAGAATGAGAGAGAGAGTACTATAAAGAATTATTGTAAGATCCACGATCTCTTTTTTTCCTACGATACTAAAGAACATTCTGAATGGACGTACGAGTGTATCGAAATTAGACACAGGATACGAAAAATATGATGGAAACATAATGTAACGAGCCAAAAAATAGAAAACGAGAAAAAAGAGTTAATAGCACGTAAACGATCTTTATTATACACATTTATAAATACGAGTTTACGAACGTTAAAGTGGGTCGGGTAAGGTGATAATGGTACCTCGGCGATGTCGAAGCGGGAGAACCTTGGGGTGCGTTTACAACGAGAGAAATATTCTTTCTCTCCAAATGTTTTTATCGAACAAAACAGCGTGAGAATAAAATACAGGATGTTGGAAATGGGAAGGGTCTCGCTTGGCCACGTCGGATTTTGCTGAAAGTTTGTTTCCATTGTCTCTTTACTTGTTAGTGTCTCTTGTAGCTTGTAACGTTTAGTATAATGCCGTTAATTAATCTACAGTCTACGAGGTTGTTCTCTCACATTCCGTACAAGTCTACCGAAAATTTATCTAGTCGTTACTCTCGTTACCGATATTGCCGTTGGCGTAATTAGGTCGTGTTTCGAATTCGGGAATTATTCAAATGTAGGCTGCAAAGATGTCGATATCGATCGAAATGTTATAATACATTGTTATAGTAGCGACAGTGTAACCTATGATATGAAACTCGAATTTTAAACTAGTTTTTTCTTGACACTTGTTAAATTAAATTGCATTAACTTCAAATTGAATCTTCTGAAATTTTGACCACACCGAAATGAATCTCGTATAGCTTTAACGATGCAAAATTGGGTCTCATGTAATTTTAACCGCGCAAAATTGAATCTTCCTTAATTTCAACCACGTAAAATTGAATCTCATGAAATTTTAACACAAAATTGAATTAGTACGCGCTGGAGTCACCACGCGTGGAATTATTACGCGTGGAATTACTACGCGTTGGAGTCACCACGCGTAGAATTACTACGCGTTAGAGTCACCAAGCGTGGAATTACTACGCGTTGGAGTCACCACGCGTGGAATTACTACTCGTTGAAATCACCACGCGTGGAATTACTACGCGTTGGAGTCACCACGCGTGGAATTACTACTCGTTGAAATCACCACGCGTGGAATTACTACGCGTTGGAGTCACCACGCGTGGAATTACTACTCGTTGAAATCACCACGCGTGGAATTACTACGCGTTGGAGTCACCACGCGTGGAATTACTACTCGTTGAAATCACCACGCGTGGAATTACTACGCGTTGGAGTCACCACGCGTGGAATTACTACTCGTTGAAATCACCACGCGTGGAATTACTACGCGTTGGAGTCACCACGCGTGGAATTACTACTCGTTGAAATCACCACGCGTGGAATTACTACGCGTTGGAGTCACCACGCGTGGAATTACTACTCGTTGAAATCACCACGCGTGGAATTACTACGCGTTGGAGTCACCACGCGTGGAATTACTACTCGTTGAAATCACCACGCGTGGAATTACTACGCGTTGGAGTCACCACGCGTGGAATTACTACTCGTTGAAATCACCACGCGTGGAATTACTACGCGTTGGAGTCACCACGCGTGGAATTACTACTCGTTGAAATCACCACGCGTGGAATTACTACGCGTTGGAGTCACCACGCGTGGAATTACTACTCGTTGAAATCACCACGCGTGGAATTACTACGCGTTGGAGTCACCACGCGTGGAATTACTACGCATGGAATACAACACGTTGGAGTCACCACGCATGGAATTACTACGCGTGGAATTACTACTCGTGTAAAGCTTCACTCATTATAATTGAATCTCTTGAAATTTTAACAGCAATTTGTATCTTGTATAAACCTTCACTTATTAGAATTGAATCTCATGAAATTTTAACCCAAAATTGAATCTAATATAAACCTTCACTCATTACAATTGAGTCTCATGAAATTTTAACAGCAATTTGTATCTTGCATGAACCTTCACTTATTAGAAATGAATCTCATGAAATTTTAATACAAAATTGTATCTCGTAAACCTTACTTATTATCGAATAAAAATTTCGATTAAACCTCTCAAATCGAGTTGATTCAACGAATATTATCATTAAATAAAAGAAAGGTACTAAACCAGAGAGAAATCCTAGTTACGCCAACTTGCCTAATTTCGTTGCTGTTCCATAAGTTTTAGTACCGTGTTACTTAAGTTTGTTGGCCATAAAGAAAAGAGAGTTTAAGCCATTTTATACACTTGGTGTGCTTGTTATCCGTTGTTCACCTTTGTTGAAACACTTCTTCCACTTTTCGGAAATCTTTCAAACTTTGAAGGATTAAAATTTCCGAAACTCCATCGATAAAATCTAGTTCAACGAAACACACTGATTGTGGGATCAAAAAACTGTATCGCGATTTTGTTCAGAAGCTACTTTCAGCAAGATCTGCTTCAACCAAGTAGCGAAAAATCGCGACGAGAGTATTCGTAAATCCGAAGGGATGAAAAGAGCAGGCATTTTCGTGGTTAGCTTTTTTCTTCGATATCGTTCCAACGATTTGAACGAATAGATAGAGCAACGTTCGTCTTTATATTCGATTGATATATATTTCGAGCGATCGCATGATAAACGTATAAATCTTTTACTTTCCCCTATTCAACAGAATCTTCTTTGCTTGACTAAACTTAACTTGTTCTGCCGTATACGTATGCACCGATTCCGACGTTTCCTACGATTTTCTACTGTTACGTTGCGAATTGGCGAGAAGCTTATCGATCGAACGAGAAAACGGTTCACTTTTGATTCGGATGTTGTCTCTCTTGCTTCTTCCTTGGTTTCGTTGCTTCCCTGGATCGAAGGGAGGGTGGGACCGATTTCACGGTTAAATTTCTAGTAACGTTGTTCAGAGTCCCCCTTCACTCGGGCGAAATTTTCACGTTTAGCGGTTTGGGAATTTAGGAAGGTAGACATTTGAAATTTGTAAGGTTAGAGACTTCCTAATTTTCCAACTTTCTACACCCGAATTTTCTAATTGACAAATTTACCAATTTTCGAATCTAGTCATTCCCCATTTTCTCATTCTTCCAATTTGCCAATTAAGGAATTGCGTGTGGGTACGAACTCAAGGAAACAAGCGAGAGAACGTGTTACGAGGTCATCACTATGTTAATTGGAGGGAAAATCCTCGCGAAATTCCAAATTCGAATCCAACTACGTGCAGTTCAAACTCGATTTGAATATCGCTACCGAGTGAATGTCGCTGAATTAACATTTTGCGTGACGCGTGAATTCTCGCGAAAATCCGTCGTCTATTTTAATGGAAACGATGTTAACCAGTCGCGGATAATTCTATCGATGTTTAAAAGTCTGTCCACTAGAAAGAGTAATCTCGCTAAAATTTTGCCGCGAGTATAATTCTAGCAGAGTTTTCTACGATTTCGACGCGGAACGGTCAAAGTGTTAATCGCGTAAATCGACGAGAATCGAAAAGAGCCCGTTTTCGAATCGAGAGAACGGTTTTTCGCGCGATGACCGACAACAGGAAATGAATCGAGATGGTACGCGCGCACAAAAAGCGGCACCGCGCCGTGACAACCGAATTACCATGTTCAATCAACAGCTAAGCGGTTAATCACCTTAGCGTGTAATTAAAGCTAGTCGGGTGAACAATTAGCGTCTTCTGCGTGATACTCGACAAGTCACGCCAATTTTATTAGCGGCGATTTTCAGTGGCACCTTTGCGGTATACACACTTACACATACATACTTATTTTCATCTGTGACTGATCGCACCATGCGACATAACGCGAGGGTTGGTGCGCTTCGTGCGATATAACGCGAGTAAATTGAAGGTGAGGCGAAATAAGGAAAGAAGTAACTATGGGCTCTGCCATATTTAGTATAACAAGATTTCCAGATTATGCAATATAACGCGAGGGAAGCACGAGGCGATATAATTCGATGGAACGACGTGTAATGTGAAATAGGTCTTTGGGTAAACGTAATATGCGGTATAACGAGATTATTGCACATTATGCAATATAACGCGAGTGAAGTACGATGCGGCAAAATTCGATGGAACGACGTGTAATTCGAAATATTGTTATGGGTTAACACAATATGAGATATAACAAGATTATTAGCACATTATGCAATATAACGCGAGTGAAGTACGAAGCGGTAAAATTCAATGGAACGACGTGTAATTCGAAGTAGCGCTATGGGTTAACGCAATATGCTATATAAAAGGATTATCAATCACATTATGCAATATAACGCGAGTAAAGTACGATGCGGCAAAATTTGATGGAACGACGTGTAATTCAAAACATTGTTATGGGTTAACACAATATGAGGTATAACAAGATTATTAGCACATTATGCAATATAACGCGAGTGAAGTACGAAGCGACGAAATTCGATGAAACAACGTGTAATTCGAAGTAGCGTTATGGATTAACACAATATGAGGTATAAAATGATTATTGGCACATTATGCAATATAACGCGAGTGAAGTACGAAGCGACGAAATTCGATGAAACAACGTGTAATTCAAAATAACGCTATGGGTTAACGCGATATGCTATGTAAAAGGATTATCGATCACATTATGCAATATAACGCGAGTGAATCGTTACAGTGCGAAATAACGCGATTGTCACAATGTGAAATAAATTGTAAAGCCCTTGCGATTGTTTGCCATAATATAAAATTTATTGTGAACCGCATGCGATGCGAAGTAACGCGAGAGAATGCGATGCGAAATAAAACGAGGTTCATGGCGATGCGAAATAAAACGAGGTACGTCGCGATGCAGAATAAGAGCAGTGAATGCGGAATAACGCGACTGAATCGTGTACCATGCGATCTAGAGTCATGTGCGATATAACGTGAGTGAGACGTGCGGCGAGTCACAATTGGAAATAAGCCCATACAACGTACACATAGCGATCCCGAATCAGCCAAATTCTTCGGGAGAGTACTATACAGGCGTTGATGACGAAGAATCAAGTTCCTCCCGAGCGTTTCCGGTTTCCGATGCGCGATTTGAAGTGTAATTACACGATACTCGACTGCCATGAAAAATATAGTTCTGTCAAGTATATACGTTCTATAATTTAATTAAGCTTATTCATTTCACTAATTATTATTAATTACATAATTTCAT